CCATGAAGGTGGCCTCTTGAGCTATTTCTTTTCAGGGAGCAAGCTTGGAGCCAGCTGTGGTTTAACATCTCCAGACTTGGGTGTTCGTGTTCCAGCTTTGCCTACTGAGCCAGTACTTGGTTGGACAAATATTAATCATGGAACTCAGACTCTCAACTATGTACTTGCTGTGAAGGATCTCAGATATGAGAGTGCACGTAAACAGCTGATAAAGAGAGCTGGTGTAAGGTTGATTGCTGAAACACCTTGTTTTTCAGTGTTACAAGTTCCCACAGATTATGAGATGAGACAGTTTCCATCTGTAAGGCAGAAACATTTCTCGTGGCTTTGGAGGAAGCGCAACACAAAAATATGCATTTAACTGTTGATCTCAGGACCCTGAACCCCGGACTACTTGACAGTGATGGTCCAAGGATCTTTTTGGATACACTGCACCAAGAGAAGTCCCCTTTTAGAAAACAGCTCCCTCTCCCTGGCTTTGATAAAATTTCTGCAGTAGGAAGCGTCCTACAAGAACCAAGTTACCAAACTGATGTATGGCTTTCCCTTAATCCCTCACCCCTGGCTTTCCAGCTTCCAACACCACTGCCCATGCTGTATGCACACTGCTAGGTGCCAGCTGCCATGTTTTACGTTTATTTTTAAATTAATTATTCAAGAGTTTGAGCACAGGAACACCATGAACAGGCCAGGAATTGCTCAAGAGATTTGCTTACTCCTGCTGAGGCTCATCAAGTTCTTCTGCAACTCCAGCTTTCAAACTCATCTTCTACGGGATCACTTGAAGGAGGAAATAGCTGCTCTGTGAACCTCTCCCTTTTATATGTTAAAGTAACTTTAAATCACTAGAAGGTGGAGCAGCTCCCTCCTGGGAGGGAGAATGGGGCCATTCTCAGCTTGTTCCAGTGATCCCAGATATCAAACGGGTGCAAGATTCTTGGTATGCAGGTGAGGCCAGTAAAGAACTGCAGGGCTTAGTCCAGTGCTGCCATCGGTCACATCCTGCTGGCTCTGCAGAGCATCAGGAAGCATTTTCAAACCAAAGGGTGTCAGCATTGCTCTTGGCCTGGGAGATGGGGGAAGTACCTTAAGTCTTGAACCAGATTTTCTGTGGAGTGGTGTGCTCAGAGCTCAGGGCTTTGTCTTGGCCACTTCTCAAGAAGCTTTAGAGGTTGCTTTGAATAATTCCTTCTCTTTTTGTCAAAAGAAAAAAATACATCTGCACTGAAGCAGCTCTGATCTGATGAGTGCTTTGGTTCAGGGTTATTCTTTGCCAATTACAGAAACAACAGGCCAGTCAGTCCTTAGAGATTCGTTTCCGTTTCATCTTAAGGAAAAATGTCCTAATTCAGGGCCTTGAAGTGGAAATGTTGAGTTACTCCAGCTGGCCTGGGAAGCTGTGCCTGGTGGCTGTGGTAACTCATGGCTCTGGCTCTTGGACATCACTGTGGAAGGTGACCCTGACTCAGTGGCAGCCTTTGCTCTTGGGGCAGCAATCTCAGAACATTTCAGTCCATGTTCAGAGAGTATTTAACAACTAGAATCGACCAAAACAAATGTAGATTAGAAATTATGACTGTTCTGCTTTGGACAAGTTACCTTTAGCTTTTCCTACAGAGAATGAGGTGTGTTAGCAAGAGGTTCTGTGCTTCAGTCCCCATGGGGCACAGAACAGACCAGAGAGACTGTCCCAAGTGCTGTGCCACAGAGAATGCACATGGAGAGGGGCAGATGCTTGTCATGGTTTTCCTAGGGTGCAAAAAGCTTTTGTTCCCTTCTTACCCTTTGTTACAGGGTAAAGGCAGGTCAGCAAGCTGGGAATTCAGAGCAGGGAACAGGACAAGAAGGAAAAGCTTGTCAAACAAACTGGACAGACTTGCCCTGTGCTATTTTTTCTTCCCTTAGCAAAATTGATGGCACTTGTTGGCATATTTCTCCTGACCTCTAGCTACTGCATCTGTAATTCTTGATTGATTTTTTTTTCAAAAGTAGTTAAAAATCTCTTACATTAGAGCTGTGGAGAGAAAAAAAAAGTCTTTAAAATTCTTACCAACTTCATGAGAGACCTGCTGAGTGCACCAGAGTTACTCACTGTTATTCAGGCATTGGTTCTGTTGGATTCTGTTTAGCACTCAGATTGCTATGTTTTTAGAAAACAGGTTTAAAAAAAAACCCAAAAGTAAATAGGTTTTTACCAGATTTTCTTGTAAAAAACCAAAAATGTTTGAATTACCTTTTTAAAATGAAAATACTTTTATGGAGTTGAGAACTTTAAGGGGTTGGGGGGGGAGGGACTTGGTGGGTTGGGGTTTCTTGTTTGTTTGTTTTAAAGTTTTGCTTTTTTTCCCCTGTTCCTTAAACAAAATCCATTGAAATCCTGGAGAGCTCTTGGAGGCTGCTTAGAAATGTGGAAGGCAACCAGCAAAACTTAGAGCTGCTTGGGCTTTCCAAAGAGCTAAACCTCAGAGGATTCCTTTCACCCCCCCATGGTGGTGGATATAATGTTGAGTTATCCAGGAGTTTCCCACTTCCTAGGGGAAAAATGCCACCTTCTAGACTGTGAATTCCTTCTGCTTTGTATTTGAGTGTCTCTGCCCAGCAAAGCAAAGCTCTTTATTTGCCACCTGATGAAGTGTTGGCTTGTGCAAACTGAAGAAAACATGCCTGAAATTTAATTTCACTATCAGTGTTGGTGGCACATTTGGAAAAATATTTCTTGTCAAACTTCTGCATGAAGGAGCACCAGTAATTTTTTAGAATTAGATGCACAGGAATCTGTGGGACACAAAGTCTTGTTTTTGAATGTGCTAAAGGCCAAAATTGAATAGTCTCATGGACAGTGAAGAAGGGAAGAAAACCTTGCACTTAACTATTGTTTTTATTCCCTTTGTCAAGCAGTCAAAAAAACAGTCACTAATATGAGAACCCAACTTTTCCTCTCTTTATTTTAGATTTGGGAAAATTCCCTGCCAAAAATAAAATATCCTGGAAAATTCACTAGTGTTTGTGTGAGTAAAAGGTTCCAACCTTTTATTATTAATTTGTAAGAACTCTTTCATTCAGTTTTGTCCAAAAGAGTCAGATGTATTTTTGCACAGAAATGTGCAGCATTTTACTGAAGAGGGTCAGAATCACTTTTAATTTGAACTTTATCTGGTCTGGTTGCAGGTTTTATAGCATTTATTATCTTTAAAAATTATATATTAAAAAATCAAAGTCTCTGACTTCACATCCAAAAAAAAAAATACTTAAATGTTTTCAACTCTGGTGGCACCAAAAAAAGCTGTTGAATTAGACCTTAAGCCATCTTATCAAACCTTCCATGGTCATGCAGGAATGGATAATGATGGATACATGGATTAGGGAACAGCATATGATGGCAAACTTGTAGTATTGGATGGAAAAAGAAAGCAAATTATTTCCTCAAAGCAAAGTAATTCCAAACCCTTGGTCTCATGCAGCCATGCCACTCGCAAAGTGAGCATTTCCCTGCCTCTCCAAGCTTGTTGCATCCTTGATCTGCTGTCCTGCTGTTAATTGATTGCAGCTCCACATGTCTGAGCAGGGCTAAAAGCTCCTTCTCCAGATGGATCTCGTCCAACATACACTGTGCACGCCTGGCTGTGTAGATATGTCTCCTGTATGCATGTCCAGATGTCTGCATATTTGTGTGCTGGCCCCCAAATCACTCATCCTACTACAAAGCATCAGCCTTGAAGGCACATTCATCCAAACATGATGTAGATCTTTCATTTTTGCCACTTGCCTCCAAATGAGAGACTTTTTATGCAGTGGCAAATAGCCCCAAATTCTCATATATATTTTTTTACTGTCACTCTTGCTGACTTTGTTGTCACTCTCTTGGTGTGTGTATAAGCACACATGTGTATGTAAATACATATTTGTGCTTTTATACACACAAGTGTGTTTTTGCTGTACAGGTAATAAAGATGGGGGAAGGTTTTTGTGTTTTCTTAATAGGTGAAGAATTCTTGAAGACCAGAAATTGCAACTTACTGAATTTTAAAGTAAAAAAAAAAAAACCAAAACACATTAAAATTGTCCGGCTGTGGAAGATGGATCCTCATTTTTGCAGCCACTTTGAATCACAAGTTCATCTTTAAATACACTGGGTGTTTTTTGGTTTTTGTTTTTATTTTTGGTGGTGTTTTTTTGGTGGTGTTTTTTTGGTTTTTTGGTGGTGTTTTTAAAATATTTTTGAAGAGCTAACTATCCCTGGCTGTCTCCAGTCTGACAGTATTCCAATGGACTTGCTTCCTCCATTAGTTGTAAGATGTTTAAAAAGCACATCCCATGTTTGAATTGTGGATGAGAGGTTCCCTTGGCAATGGGAGGAGGAAAATTCTTTCTACCCCTTTATTATTAATTCACGGATTCAGTGTTGGTTCGGCCTACAGGAGAAGTTAACTGGAAGTCTTGGAAGATCAATATCTTTCCTGAAGTTGTCCAGGTATGTGAACATGAAGGTTGGTGGTGATTGGAAAATAATATTTAATATATCAATTGTGTATTGATTGTATATATATCAACTACCCACAGTTGATAACCCAAAAATAGGACCAATTTCTTAAGAAATGTCTTCCTTGGTGGCCTTTACAGCCACATGCAGTAGTTTTTTCTGTGCTTCAAGGTGTAGAACTGTTACTAGGGACAAAGGAGTAAACACTTGCTGACCAAACCCCTGCAGTTTTACAGTAGTTTTGGGATAGTTTTTGTGACCAGCTGATTTCAAGACGTTTCCCCCCTCAAAACACAAATTTGATTAACAGAAAGCATCTGGAAAAAAATCCTTGTGCCCTATTTATTTCTCATTTCTTTATACCATTTTTAGGGTAACTTGTAAAAAGAAGATTTCACTGATCAAGCCAGTAGAAGACTTTCAGTCCAAGAAAGAGTGAAGGCAGCTCTTGCCAAGACTGGAGGAAGTCCCTGTTGAGTGAGCCCTTAGAGCCTGAGCTTGTTCTGAAGGCCTTTCCGTTATGTCTAACCAAGGAGATGACTGCTACTTCTATTTCTATTCCACTTGTAACAAGGTCTGTTTGGGTTTCTTTTGCTTTGGGCTTTGTTTTTGTTTTTTTTTTTCCTTTTTAGTGTTTTAAGAGAGCAGAGAAGGAGGGGACAGAAAGAGCAGAAGTGGGAGGAGACCTACAAATCTCTCTGGGCTAAATAAGCAGATAGAACTGCTTCCAGTTCTGATAGTGTGGATGTTTGGGTTTTTTAGGCTGTACTGTTTTATTTTGATTTGTGTTGTTTTCCTTTTGGTGACAGGGAGACAGCTGCTCCTTCCGCCACTGTGAAGCTGCTCTGGGGAATGAAACAGTCTGTACCCTCTGGCAGGAGGGTCGCTGCTTCAGGAATATCTGCAGGTTCAGACACATGGAGATTGATGTGAGTGGTTGCTTGAAGTTGTGGTCTCCAGCTAAAGCACTGAAAGGGTTTTTAATAGCTCTGGGTGGACTGAGTGTTCTTAACATGATGGGTAGGTTAACCCACCTGAAGTGATGTGTGGGAGTGCCTATCTTTGCACACTGAGGGGTAGGAAAGCTAGGTAACATGGAATCATAGAATGGTTAAAGGTTGAAAGGGACCTTGAAGATCATCAGGTTCCAGCCTCCCTGCTATGAGCAGGGACACCTCCCACCAGACCAGGCTGCACAAGCCTCATCCAACCAGGCCTTGAACATCTGCAGGAATGGGGCTGCCACAGCCTCCCTGGGCAACCTGTTCCAGCACCTTACTACCCTCATGGTGGAGAATGTCTTCCTAATATCTAAGCAAAATCTCCCATCTTCCAGTTTAAAACCATTATCCCTTGTCCCAGGTCCCTCCCCACCTTTCCTGGAGCCCCTTCAGGCACTGGAAGGTGCTCTAAGGTCTTCCAGGAGCCTTCTCTGCTCCAGGCTGAACACCCCAACTCTGTCAGCCTGTCTTCATAGCAGAGCTGCTCCAGCCCTCGGTTCATCTTCATGGTCCTCCTCTGGACTCTCTCCAACAGCTCCATCCATATCTCTCCTGTGCTGAAGGCTCCAGAGCTGGACACATCACTCCAGATGGGGTCTCACCAGAGCAGAGGGGCAGAATCCCCGCCCTCAACCTCAAATATGTAGTTGTTGAGCTTACCCAAACTTTCTGTATATGCCCTTGAAATACTTTTAGTGATGAACTTTGATTTGGGAGGATGTTTCAGCCCTACACGGTGATAGTCCTGTCTCTGGTGTGATGTGAAACTGTTTCTTTGCAAATCTAAGATGAGTGTTACCAGGAGCTTTTCTTTCTTTCTATCTTCAGAAGAAACGCAGTGAGATTCCCTGCTACTGGGAGAACCAGCCTGTAGGCTGCCAGAAATCTAACTGTGCTTTTCATCACACAAAAGGACGTTATGTTGATGGACTCTTCTTGCCACCAAGCAAAAGTGAGTTTCTTTTCTCTTTTTTTCTTTAAGTATTAATTTTGAATGCTACTTATGAGTGAGTGTGACACTGTAGAAGACATCGAGTAACTGTTCATTTATGAGTGCAGAGAGAATCTGCAGTCATGGGCTCAGCTAAACAGAATGTAATTCTGGAGTTTAGCTATTTTCTTTCATAGAATGGTTTGGGTTGGAAGGGACCTTAAAGATCATCCAGTCCCAACCCCTCTGCATGGGCAGGGACACCTCCCACCAGACCAGGTTGCTCCAAGCCCCATCCAACCTGCCCTTCAACACTGCCAGGGATGGGGCAGCCACAGCTTCCCTGGGCAACCTGTTCCAGTGTGTCACCACCCTCACAGTAAAGAATTTCCTCCTAATGTCTTACCTAAATCTCTCCTGTTCCAGTTCTAATCTATTGCCACTTATCCTATCACTACACACCCTTGTCAGAAGTCCCTCCCCAGCTTTCCTGGAGCCCCTTCAGGCACTGGAAGGTGCTCTAAGTTCTCCCTGGAGCCTTCTCTTCTCCAGGCTGAACAGCCCCAACT